GAAGAGAGAAGAAAAAAAAAAAAAATTTTCTGAAAAACTAAGTAATAAATTGTAAAATATAAATAATATAATTTGAAGAAAAAGAAATGGACAATTAATTTAATTAATTAATTCCAAAAGAAAAAAAAATAAATTTAGTCTGGACAAATATAATTATTGAATTCAATTTAAATTAATGCTTAATATTTTTATCATAATAATAATAATATTGATCATTTCACATTATAATTTTATTCTATTATCTTATCAATTATACTTACTTACCATTTTATACTAACACCTTATCAATTATAGTTATGCTCATTGCTTATACTTCAGCTTGTTCTTTTTTTTTTTTTTCTATACTTTGAATCATTTCCAGCAAATGTCTTTAATGTTTTTTTTTTCTTTCCAAATATCAGTGGTCATCGTTGCTGTATTTAAGTGGACAATGATTATTGATGTTTATCAAAAATTTTTCCCGTATTAGTACTAACAGAATAACATTTCCATAACTTAATCATATTTGAATATTAATTTAATTTAAAAAATTTAAGGAAAAAAAGTTTGATCCAAATTTGAATTTATTTATGGAACTAATATTTCCACCTCTAACAACAATATTAATATTATCAACAAATAAATTTTAAATTATTGAAACATTTTTTCTTTAAAAAAAATTTTCCTCCATATTTTCCTAATTTCATTTATCTTAAGCATTTCTCTTCAATCCTAATAGTAAAATAATTTTGATAATTTAATGAGAGAAATTCAATCTGAATTTTTTCCTTTCAAGTTTTGAATTTCTTAACTTTTCGGCATACTGTAACAATATGAACAAATATTACGCTGTTGCGTATGTGTAAAAGTTTTAAATATGTAAATAAAACCAACAATGATTCAAATTGTCATTTTATAAATGACACAATAAAAGCATTCTGTAAAATTTCATATAACAAATTTTTAAATGGTTTGGAAAAAAAAAATTTGGAACTACTAAAAATTTTCTCGTAATAACAAAGAAATTTCCATAAATCATTAAAAGTTCAAATTCGAAATTTAAAAATTAAAAAAAAAATAAAAATTTCATTAAAAATTAAATTTCGACTTTAAAAAAATTGAAAACTATTTCAAAGTTTTTTTTAAAATATGTTATGCAAGGAATAAAATATTGTATAATATTTCTACTACTTTATGTAAATTGTTATAATTAATATTTTTCAATCAATTTTTTTTTAGCTAAAATTTTTTGCTTTATGAAATTTAAAATTTACTACATATTTTACACTTCATATGTACAAATTTTAATCATTTAAAAATAAATTTTAAATGAAATTTAAATTAAGATTTGAAAAAAATTTTAATTTTAAATAATAAAAAGAATTTTTTTTAAACTTTGGAAAAAAAAAATTTCCTTTTTACCCGTTACAACTTGTTATATTTCATTTACAACACTTTTACAATACCATGAAGAAATTTTTGATGGAAAAAAAAAAAAAAAATGGAAGTCAATGTCAAACCATAACATTTCCCTTTCTTTTACCGCTACAATATTTTTTACGCATTCCATAAAATTATTACAAAATTTTTCCATTAAAAAATTCCAATCCAATAGTCATTTTGCTATTTTGCTCTTTT